CACAGATAAGTCTGACCGTTGCGTCTTGTCAACCCTGAATCGTGCCAGAACGCCGTTCCTGGGACTTCAACACCGCGAACCATCGTAATTGCTGCACCTGTCCAATCGTGAGCCCATCCAAAAACACAAGTTCCGGTACGTCGATCATGTGAATCCGTGAAACTTTTGCAGTTGGTATACGAATGTGCGCGGCGCTAGCGCGAGAACCACAGTTTGAAAAGGAACCGCCCTCAATCCGTGAAACTCTTGCAATGGATATGACGAATATGCGCAGGCGGGAGCCACATACTGAAAACCACCCGCCCTCAATGCGTGGAGTTCCTGCAAATGTTGAAAACGAATGTGCGCGACGCTAAAGAGAGAGCCACATTTTGAAAACCACCCGCCCTCGATCCGTGAAATTCTTGCAACTGTTTCAAACAAGGCGGAGGAAGAAGAGGAGGAGGAGGAGGAGGGGGAGAAGGAGGAGGTGAAAGAGGAGGAGGAGGAGTGGGAGGAGGAGGAGAAGAAGAGGGAGGAGGAGAAGGAGGAGGAGGAGGAGGAGGGGGAGGAGGAGCAGGAGGAGGAGGAGGAGCAGGAGGAGGAGGAGAGGAGGAGGAGCAGGAGGGGGGGGAGAGGGAGGAAGAGGAGGAGGAGGAGGAGTGTAAGCCCAAGAGTAATCAACGATGTTGGAATAAACCCTCCCTGCAAACTCCCTTTTTCAGACGCCCCTATAAGGGTTAATTTTCATTGAGGGGACTGCATCGTTGGAAGACACGCTTGTGATGACCCGGGAGCATACCAGAACATTGTTCTCGGGATTCCAACGCCACGGGTCGACCTGACTGTGGCGTCTTGATGATCCTAAAGCGTGCCAGAAGCCCACTCCTGGGACTTCAGCACCGCGAATCAACAAAACTGCTGCATCCGCAGTATCCTGAGCCCTTCTAAACAACCATTTCTAGTACGTTTATCGTGGGGGTCCGTGAAACTCTTGCACATGTTATCCGCCAGCCCCCTTGTGGGGCCACCAGGCTGTAGGCCCAAGGTTCGCGGTTTCCTGTACCAGTTGCAGCTTCCAGTTTCCATTGTTACAGTTCTGCTTCTTGCTGCTTACTGTTCCTTGTTGGCTTCTTGCTGATCACTGTTCCTTGTTGGTGGACCGCGCGAGGGGGGGGGGAGGCCCAAAACGGACATTTTTACCACGGCCAAAACGGAATTACTGGGGCGTGTAAAAATTGACAGCCCTCACGCAGATCGGCGGGGTCAGGGTGCAAAAACACAAAGGATGTGCCACATGTTTGAAATCTGGTGGCACCCCTCACGCAAATCGGCGGGGCCAGGGTCCAAAAACACAAAGGATTTGCCGCATTTTTGAAATTTGCTGGCACCCCTGACGCAGATCGGCGGGGTCAGGGTCCAAAAACACACGGGATTTGCCGCATTTTTGAAATACGGCAGCACCCCTCACGCAGATCGGCGGGGTCAGGGTGCAAAGGCACAAGGGATGCGCCACATTTCTGACATTCGGTGGCACCCCTCACGCAGATCGGCGGGGTCAGTGTCCAAAAGCACAAGGGATTTCCCACATTCCTGAAATTCGGCAGCACCCCTGACGCAGATCGGCAGGGTCAGGGTCCAAAAACACATAGGATTTCCCGCATTTCTGAAATCCGGCGGCACCCTTCATGCAGATCCGAAGGGTCAGGGTCCAAAAACACAAAGGATTTGCCACATTTCTGAAATTCGGCGACACCCGCGACGCAGATCCGTAGGGTCAGGGTCGAAAAACAAACAGGTCCCGACACTGCTTCACGGCGGCGCCGAGGCCTCATGATTTAGCTTCGGCATCTCCCATTATCCGAGACAGGGGACCGGCGGCATGGGGCGAAGCCCTTACGGATAAACGAATGTGCGCGGCGCGAGAGCCACATTTTGAAAAGGAACCGCCCTCAATCCGTCAAGCTCTTGCAAATGCTCGCGACGCTGAGGCGAAAGCCACATTTTGAAAACAACCCGCCCTCAACCCGTAAAACTCTTGTAATTGTTTCAAACGAGGAGAAGGAGGAGGAGGAGGAGGAGGAGGAGGAGGAGGAGGAGGAGGAGGACGAGAGGAGGAGGAGGAGGAGGAGGAGGAGGAGAGAGAGGAGGAGGAGAGGAGGAGGAGGAGAGAGGGGGGAAGGAGGAGGAGGAGGGGGAGGAGGAGAAGAGGACGAGCAGGAGGGGGGAGAAGGAGAAGGAGAAGGAGAAGGAGGAGGAGGAGGAGGAGGAGGAGGAGGAGTGTAAACCCAAGAGTCATCAACGATGTTGGAATAAACCCTCCATCTAAGCTCCCTCTTCATAGGCCCCTATAAAGGTTCATTTCCATTGAGGGAACTGCCTCGTTGGAAGACAACCTTTTGAAGACCATGAAGCATACCAAGACATTGGTCTCGGGATTCCAACGCCACGGATCAACCTGACTGTTGCGTCTTGACGATCCTAAAGCGTGCCAGAAGGCCATTCCTGGGACTTCAGCACCGCGAATCAACACAACTGTTGCAACCGCATTATCCTGAACCATTCTTAACAGCCATTCCTGGTACGTTGGTCATGTGGACACGTGAAACTCTTGCACATGTTGTAAGCGAGTGTGAACGGCGCTCAGGCGAGAGCCACATTTTGAAAAGGAACCGCCCTCAATCCGTGAAACGCTTACAAATGTCGGGAGCGATTCTGCGCAGCGCTGAGGCGAGAGCCACTTTTTGAAGACGACTCGCCATCAATATTTGAACCGCTTTCATTTTTCACTTTCAAATGTTGTTTACTAAATTATATATACACTATACGATTACCCTTGAAAAATATTCCTATGTATATATTTATACAGGGCCGGGGACCCCGGAAAAGCGGCACACGGTGCCCCCCACCCCCCCCAAACGAATTTCGGCCTCCCCGGGCCTTTGGGGCGCTCCTGCAGAGTGCTCCGTGTCTGTCCTGCGAATGCGACGCGCGAAAAAAAAAAAAAAAAAAAAAAAAAAAACGACGGCCGAAGAGGGCCCCGAGACACCCAAAGATCGGCCCAAGACGCCCAATCTGGGCCCCAGACTGCCCATGACGCGTCCAAGACGCCCCCAAAGACCCCCAAGAGGCCTCCCAAGAGAGCCCCGAGAGGCTACAACTGTTGATTTTCCTGTGTGTTGTTCGATATGTTTGGCCTTCTCGCTTCCCCCGCTCCCCGACGCTCCACAATGGCCCAAGAGGCTCCCTAGATCGCCCCAGTACTGCCCACGAGGCCCCCAAGAAGGCCCCGACACGGTCCAGGAGGGCTCCGAGACCGCCCAAGAGGCGCCCAAGACGGCCCAAGAGAGCACCAAGACGGCCCCAAGAGAGACCCAAGAGGGCGCCCAAAAATTCGAAAACTAAATTTTCCGCCGCGAGAGGGCCCCAAGAGGCCCGGAGAGAGCCCCACGAGGCCCCAAGAGGCCCCCAAGAGGCCCCAAGGAGCCCCCAAGAGGCCCCCAAGAGGCCCCAAAAAGATCCCCAGAACCCCAAAACACCCCATAGAGGCTTCAAAACTGCCTCCCAGAGGGCCCCGAGAGGCGCACCACGAGATCCCAACGCAGCGGTCTCCCCCTCTCATTATCTCTTCTCTTTGTCGTCGCCTTCTTCGTCGTCGTCGTTGTCGTATCAAATGGCGCAGCGAGGCCATTTTTCGTTCAAACCACCGAAGTACCAAAGAGCTCCTCCTCCTCTTCCTCATTCTCTTCCTCCTCTACCTCCTCCTCCTCCTTCTCCTAATTCCCCGTGATGTTTCACGTTCCGCCCCGCCAAAGGTCTAGCAGAAGCAGCTCTCCTCACTCTCCCAAGTCTTTGCTGCAGATTTTTTTCCGCGACACCTCGGCTGTACCCCAGATATCCACATAATCTGTCCTCTTCATCCTCTTCCTCCTCTTCATCCTCCTCCTCTTCCTCCTCCTCCTCCTCCTCTACATGTTCCTCCTCCCGCCTCGACTGAGCTTCTCGCCACACTCAATACAAACCGTCGGGGCCACGACACCATCTCATCCGGACGCGCTGTGGGGAACCAGGGTTTTTGTGACATTTCGGAGATCAGGCCGTCGGGAACCTTCGGTTTCAGCACACATCCTGAGGAAACACTCTCTGGGGACTCACGGCCGCACGAACACATGCAACGTCGGCCACTTTCGCGCGCGACTTCTCGCAACTCTAAGTTCAAGGATGCCCTGAGCAGAGGTGTTCAGACCACTCCTCGCTTGAAACTTCCTCGCACGGCTGACTTCGGATATGCCCTCCCCTAAGCGGATGTGTTCAAGCCATTTTCACCCGGGACGTCCTCGCAACACTAACCTCGGCGACGCATTGTCCCATGGTAGTCTGACCACGTTTGCCTGAGACCCTCGCGCCTTTTAGTGGCGCGATGATATGAGCAACTGGTCAGGCCACTACCGCCTGGTATACGCATGTGTATGCGCACGCATAGTTACAATGACCATTTGCATATACATGTACATATCCATACAAACGTATACATGTATGTACATATGTACTACGCATTCAAAGACGCATGTGTGTGCGCATGTACGCACGCTCGCACTCCGCTAGCGTGCGAATTCCAAAGGACCACGGTGCATGGCGCGCAGCGCCAATGCAGTCTTGTATATATATATGTATATATTAAAAATGGAAGCCACTCGCCCTCTATCCGCGAAATTCTTGCAACTGCTTTACAACGAATGCGCGCGGCGCTAAGCCGAGAGCCACATGTTGGAGCTGACCCGCCCTCACTCTGTGAAACTGTTGCCAGCGCTTCAGTTTCAGAGTCATACATGGTGAGCAAGTCTCACGCGAAACGCCCGGACCGCCCGAAACACTGGCCTCGGGGTGCGACCAGGAGAAATTACTTACAAGGAAAAGGAATGGAGGAGGAGGGGGAGGGGAAGGAAGGAGCAGGAGGAGGAGGAGCAGCAGCAGCAGCAGAAGAAGATGTTTAGACAGCGCTCTCTTCCTCGGACGGTCGCCTAGTCGCGCGCCGGCTCCTGGAGGCCGCGCAGGGGCCGGCCCTCCGCGCCGAGGCGCAAGCGCCGCCTCAGCAGGTCGAGCAGGGCGGCCGCGGGCCTGTGCGCGCGGGCGAAGGCGTCGAAGTCGAGCGCGTCCTTCGGAGGCGGCAGCTCTTCAAATATGCGACGTCGTCGTCGTCGTCGTCGTCCTACTCTTCCTCCTCCCCCTATCGCCCCATCCCCCCTCTCCGACAGGAGCGCCCCTTGGTGGCGCGCACAGGGTGGTGGTAGTGATAGTGGGCAGCTCCAGATCTGAGCGACGAAAAGACACGGGTCTTACGCGAGATGACCCAGCGAGATCACGCAGCGGCTTACGCGGGTCGCCAGCGCGGCACGCCATATTGGAGGCGAGGGCGCTTACGCGCGACCTTATGCGGGCAGCTTACGCGCCAATGTCGGCGCAGACGACCCGTTTCGTGTCTGGACGGTGATGTTTCGTTATTTTCGGCCCCTGTGGGCCCTGGCCGGGCCGCGGGGCCGTCAGGAAGCGACTCGGGACGAAAAGCCTAGCCCAGGGGAGAGGGTCAGGACTTCCAGGGACTGCGCATTGAAAAACCAAGCCGTCGCACGTCTGGGCCACCATGCGGTCAGGAGCTTGTGCTTAGCATGTCGCGGCGGCGGCCCTGGCGACACGCTGTGCCCTGCGAGCTGATGGCGTGTCGTTGCTCTCCGCGGGGCGGGAGGCTGGGAAAAGCTCGGGACGTTGCCCTCTGGGGACTGGGACGCGATTAGCATGACGCGCAGACGCGCGATGGGCCGGAACCGGCGGCGCGACGCTGCCCAGCGTCGGCGTCGTCGGCTAAGCCAAAGCCCACGACCGTATCCCCAGCCTGGGCCTCCTACCAGGGCCATGGGGGTGGGGTGTACAACCCCCTGGTCTCGACTGGCAGGGCCTACGTAGGTGTAGGACAAGCAACGCTGACGCAAATGTGCGGAACTCCGCGCGGATTTCCTGGATCGGCGCTGGACTCCTCCTGCCTGGCGCGCGGAGCGCGCCGGGGGCGGCGCCAGCGGCGCCGCAGGGGGCCCCGAGCGACGATCCAAGGAATCTGCGCGGAGCTCCGGAAGTTTATGCTTATGCCGTTTCCCCCGTCGGCTGCAGCAGGCACGTCAAAGAAGAAGCCAGCCTTAGGTCGGGCATGTCCCCCTACAGGCGGATTGTTGGCGAAAAATTAAGCATACTCCAAAAATTTTCAAATACATTCCAAAAGTACGCAAAAACACAAAACATCCCGAGACTATTTCTTGACTACTTTGAATATTCCTCATGTAGAGAAACATGCCCGATTTGAAGCTAGCCAGCCAGCAATCGCCCTACGGAAGTCGCTTGCCCGCCAGTGGCCCTCGGGGCCCACAGGGGCCCACAGAAGCCCTCATGCCCAGAGCGCCTCTGCCGAGCAAGGCAACTTCCAGGCTGTGGCAGAGTCCTGGAGGGCCACACGTGCAAAGTTGAAAACAGTTCATTCCCCACCTGATCCGAGGCATCTTGACGACAAGCGTGCCCGGCACGGGTGGCAGGGCTACCCGGCCTCGAATCGGAAAATCGGACCGCATCGGAACGCGCGTCGGCTCGGGCCGCATCGGCACGGAGTTGGCCTGGAACCAGAGCTACCGCGCCAGGATAGCAATACCGCGCGCAAGTATCGGGATCGGACCGGCTCTAGCTGGCGAGTCGACATCGAATCGGGCCCATCGGATCGGCATGAACCCCCCCCCGTTGGCCCTGGCCAGGAGGAAGGCGAAAGTTATGTTGCTCCCGTCGTACTTGGGGACCACATCCCAGAAATGATTTCGAGCGCCCGGAAAAGTGTCGAAACAGTGTCGGTCGAGTGTCTCCCAGGGCCCGACACGTGAACACCATTGAGTCTCGGTACTTTTTGGGGGGCTCGAAATTCTCTCTCGTGCTCAAGGCTGCAGTATAGGCTCGAACATCACAAGGCGAGAGGCGCGGAGCTGGCCGCTCTCGGGCGGTCCTCCGCCAGCTGCAGGCACACCTCCAGCACCGCCAGGGCCACAAGCACCGCGTCCCGGTGCCGGCCCCCTCGCCACGCGCGCCCGAGGCAGCTGTAGACGACGGCCAGGAGCGCTCCCCGCAGCACCCCGCTGCCGGGCCGCGCGAGGAAGCTCCTGGCCGGCCTGCCGCGCGCCCGCTCGTCGCACCAGCGGAAGAAGGCCCCGCTGTTGTACACCACGGCGTGGCGAGGGCTCGGGCGGCGCAGAGGCTCCAGCAGGAGAGCGGCTGCAGAGTGGATGCACTGGGCGGCGCACACGAGGGGGCTGGAGGGAGGGGGGTGGGCCTGTCAGAAGGAGGCTGCCTCTTAGAAGGCGAAGGCCTTACATCTATAGATCAGGCCCGCGCCTTCTAAGAAGCAGGGGTGCTTCTAAAAAGCCCTCCCCCCTCCCCCCACCCCCCTCTGCGCGTGGCTGATTCACAGCCGACCCCTATCACAAGGGTGCGCGGTTAGGACGGAAGGGCCTCGGAGGCCCACGCGAACGTTTCTCGAACGAGGCTGGCCAGCGAAGGTCGCTAAGGATGGGCCGACGGGGCAAGGATGCAGGATACCCTTGGGAAAAGTGCCCATCCTTCCTATGCGGGCTCACTGTACCCCCAACTCGACTTGCCCCTCGAACCTACGACACGTCTGCGTAGAACATTGGTAGCTCCACGGGGCACTCTAACGATTGCTCAGAGACTCGACGAGAGAACCAACCTTTGGGGCAACTCAAATCTGGAGTCGATCCCCTACCGATCGGCGACTCCAAAGGGTGTGGTTTGCAAAGGGTGTGGTTTGCAACCGGCATCCTGGGGAACATCCTGGGGGGCACCCTAGGGGGCGAGCGGGGACCTCGATAGAGTTCCCCCGCGCCCCCCGAGGAAGCCCGACGAGGACAGTGTCGTGCCCCCCAGGCCCCAACGGTGCCGATCGCAAACCACACCCGGGCGTAACCATACCCTTTGCAGTCGCCGAACCGACCCCCTCGTCGCAGAGACCGCCCCCACCCCCCCCCGGTGAGCGACGGAGAGGCACGCGTCGTCCTGCGCGAGAAGGCACGGCGCCGTCCTGCGCGGTGGCCTGCACACGGGGCGGCCCGCGCAGCGGGCCCCCGCGCGACCTTGCGCGGGCAGCCTGCGCGCGAATGTCGGCGCAGTCGGCCCGGCCTGCTTCCGTCGCAGAGGAAGCCCCAGCTGGTCTCAGCGGGCCCCTGGAGCAGCGTCGGCCCGCATCCCCCAGGTGCGCGGCGGGGATGCAGGGGGCACTGCAGACGCCCATGCCGAGGCTCTTCGGGCGGGGCTGGCCATCGCCCGCGGCTAAGGATGGACCGAGGATGACCGAAGAGGCAAGGAGGAGGAGGAGGAGGAGGAGGAGGAGGAGGAGGAGGAGGAGGAGGACCGATCATCCCTACTGTGCGGGTTGACTGTGGACCTGGGCGGTCGGAACAACCTGGCGCCGCCTCCGGCGGCGCTCCTGGGGCGCTCCGCGCCCCAGGGACTCAGGCGCCGAAACCGGCCCCTTGGGCTGCTCGGGGGACCTGCCGGGGCCACTCGAGAGCACAGCGGGTTCCGTGCCGCAAGGATGCGCGACGAGGACGCGAGGGCCTCGGGCGCCCATCCCGCGGCTTCTCGAGGGCGGGCCGCGGCCAGCAAGAGTTGCGAAGGATGGGCCGAGGAGGCGAGGAGGCAAGGGTGTGTACCCTCAGTCCTGGGGCGGTCTGGACACCCTGGCGCCTCGCGACTCCCAGGGCTGGGGCGCTGAGGCCGCCCGGGGCTGCTCGGGGGCCCTGCGGAGGCCGTTCGAGCATGCCTGGGGCGGGGGGGGGTCTGTGTGCAACCCGAAGCCTCACCACCATGACGCCAGCGACTGCGGGCAGCAGGGCGTTCCGAGGGTGGACGCCGGCGGCCTTGTCGACCATGGCGCAGGCCGTCGTTATGGCGTCCAGGGCGTCCATGCTCACGCAGGCCAGCCGCGCGGGGTGCCGTGGCGTAGCCAGGGCGCGGTAGACCACATCAAAGGGCGACCAGTACACAGCGAGCCACGCGAGCACCTGACAGCAGGTGTAATCCGATCTGGCGATGTAGGACACTATGCTCGTGCCCTCCAGCAGCGCCTTCGCACCGGCGCCCCCTCCCTGGCTGTGCGAGTAGAAGGACACAACGAGGTCGTAGAGCCACTGCCGCGGCTGGCCCTCCTGCGTGCGCCAGCGGCGGTAGTGCGCCAGGGAGAGGATCGGCGGCGAGCCTGGAGGGGGGAAGTGAGAAGGGGCGGGCCTTTTCAGAAGCCTCGGAGGGCCCCCTGGCCTGTCTGAGAAGCTTTCTGAACCTTCCCCGAGGACGCAGAAAACCGCTCCGAAGGCGCGAGGGCTTCTGCGAAGCCCCGCCGCCTTCCGAGAAGGCCTCCTCCTTCTCGCTTCCCCCCCTCGCCCGCCGCCGAGATGAGGGCATGGGGGACGTGCACGGCGAGGGGGTAGTCCACATCGGTGGCTCGCAGGATGAGGTCGCGCGCCGCCCGACCGAGGTCCATGGCTGGGGGGCGAGGACGGCGCACACCCAGGGCCGTCGAGGCTCGGGCCCGAAGCGGGCGCGGAGGAGGAGGACGGCGATGACGAGGACGAGGACGACGAAGACCGAGGACCAGGACGAGGACGGAGGAGGACAACAGAGGGGACATCGTCTGCTCTGCCCGCCCCCCAACCCCCCCAGCCCCCGAAAAAGCGCATGTGTACTTTTTACTGGCGCGGCACGGTTCTCCAAATAGGCTTGCCTGTAGGAGTCCCAGCTCAGTCCATTCAGAACGGGTCCACTGTCCCCCCCCCCCCAGATTACACATGCATGCGTTCTGTGTTGCGCATGGCTTCCTCTGCGATTCGCATGGCTCTCGATGTTGCCCCATACACGCGTCCACTGCTGCGCATAGCATCCTCTGCTATCCGCATGGCTTCCTCTGCTAGCGTCATATGTTGCGCATGGATTCCTCTGCTATCCGCACGACCTCATCTGCATCCGCATGGCTTCCTCTACTATCCGCATGGCTTCCTCTGTATCTGCATGACTTCCCCTGCTATCTGCATGACCTTCTCTGTTATCCGCCTGGCTTCATGTTTCTGTATTACTTCCTCTGCCATTGCAATGGCTTTCCGTGGCTGTTCTAATACCATCCCAAAAATCGCCCAACGATCGTCAAACTCATAAGTAGCGTAGAGTAGAGTAGATCAGAGTAGAGTGAGAGTACGTAGCACCCCGCAATTGCGGATAAGAGTGAGGGGGCGGGCGCGGGCGACGCGGACGTCGAGACGGCGGACCTCGTGGCCCTCACCTTCCCTGTCGATGGCGCCCTCCTCTTCCTCGTCCTCCTCCTCCTCCTCCGCCTCCTCCTGCTCCTCCTGCTCCTCCTCCTCCTTCTCCTCCTCCTCCTCCTCCTCCTCCTCCTCCTCCTCCTCCTCTTCCTCGTCCGCGTCCTCGTCCTCGTCGTCGTCGTCGTCGTCCGCCTCCTCCTCCACCTCCTCCTCTTCCTCCATTTCCTCCTCCTCCTCCTCCTCCTCTCCTCCACCATCCCGATCCTCCCCCCATCTCCTCCTCGTCCGTCGTCGTCGTCCTCCTCCTCCTCCTCCTCCTCCTCCTCCTCCTCCCCCCCCTCCTCCTTCCTTTCTCGTCGTCACCCTCCGTCCCCCCCCTCCTTTTCCTCCTCGCCCTAGTCGTCGTCGGCCTCCTCTTCGTCCTCGTACTCGTCATCGTCGTCGACGTCGTCGTCGTCGTCAATGAAAGTGTTCAGACACAGCCCCGCCGCAGGCGCCGATGTGCTGTTGTAGAGTCAACGTGGGCCGGATCGGGGGAATGGCACGAGGGCGCTTTCCCAAACCAATGCGAGCAAGCCCGCAGCAGGCGCCGATTTGCGTGCTCTGACAAATTCAGCGCGGGAGAGATCGCTGGTGGGCCACCCGGAAGGAATGCAAAAACAGCTCGCCGCAGGCGCCGAAGTTTTGGCTTGTTCAGTGAACGTAGTTTGGGTCGCGGGTGGGTCGCGGGCTCTCCACCTCCACCTGGAAGGAATTCAAAAACAGCCCGCCGCAAGCGCCGAAAAGTTTGATTTGTACACTGAACGCGGTTTGGGTCGCAGGTTCTCCACCTGGAACGAATGCAAAAGACACCCACTGCAGGCGCCGAAGCTTTGGCTTGTTCAGTGAACGTAGTTTGGGTCGCGGGTGGGTCGCGGGCTCTCCACCTCGACCTGGAAGGAATTCAAAAATAGCCCGCCGCAGGAGCCGAAAATTTTGATTTGTACACTGAACGCGGTTTGGGTCGCGGGTGGGTCGCATATTCTCCACCTGGAACGAATGCAAAAGAAGCCCGCCGCAGGCGCCGAAAATTTTGGGTGGGTCGCGGGTGGGTCGCGGTTGGGTCG